GGAGGGGATAGGTGGGAGGAAGAACAGGTTAGGGAGGCAGGGACGAGCTGGACTGGTTTTGGGATGCGGTAGGGGGAGGGGAGATTTTGAAACTTGTGAAATCCACATTGATACCATTGGGCTGCAGGGTTCCCAAGCGGAATATGAGTTGCTGAGGTCAGCTTTCTTTCTACTTTTCGCACCAGCTACAAATGGCATTCATAGGGAGCCTTATTGAAACTAGGAATTTTTGTTCTGGAGAGTAATATATTTGTCTACTTCAACATATAGATTCAGAATTAGCCACTGTCACAATGGCAAGAACAGAACAAGATCTCATTTGCCTTCAAATGTACCTTGTAAGAGCTCTAAACCTGTATAACACCCCAAATACCCACACCAAACATGTTTGTGCAGGCCAAAGAGTTTTGAATTCTGAACACTATTCTGTGATAGACAGGCAACTATAGTGAACTAGATTGATTCTGGCCAAGAGTTGTTTTACTTCAGGTCCTTTTTTTAGCTTTGGAAAGCTGAAGAGGTTTATGAATTCAATGGCAAGACCACTTCTTCAGAGTAAATTGACCAATTTTTCGATCAATACAATGATAGATTTTGAAAAATAATTTGATATAAGTCTGCATCCAATGTGCTTTTTCTATTCTTTCATGTGATGTCGGTATTGCCAGCAAGGCCAGCATTTGTTGCCCATCTCTAATTACCCCTGAAGTGATTGGCTTGCTAGGTTATCTATGAGGGTAATTGAGAATCAACCACATTGCTGTGGGTCTGGAGTGCCCTATTGGTCAGACCAAGGAAGGACTGCAGAGTTCTCTCCCCAAACAACACAAAGGAAGCAGAGATAACAAGGTGTAGAGCTGGATGAACACAGTAGGCCAAGCAGCATCATAGGAGCAGGAAAGCTGACGTTTCGGGTCTGAACCCTTCTTCAGAAAGGGAAGCAGGTAGGTTTTCACAATAATCCATGTCAGTTTCATGCTTAAAATAACTGAGAAATCTTTTCAATTTCAGAATTATTAACTGAATTTAAATTCCACCAGCTGCCATAGTGGGATTTGAAACCATATCCTAGAGCATTACCTGGATTACTTGTGACATTACCACTCTGCCACCACCTCCTTCTAACATAATGTTAAAATATTAAAAATGATGGGTGGTCCAAAGGTGCTGTGCCCATAGGTGGTGCGATGAATGTAGCGCTATGTAACTAATTAAGAATTAATTAGGCAGCACTAAAACAAAGTAAGACAGCCTATAAAAGCAACAAGGTTTGACTTTTGATATACAAATATACAAAACATACAAGAATCCTGGGGAGCTTCACCGATTGGATACAGAAAGGTTCCTTCCCTTTGTGGGAAAGTTTAGAACCAGAGGCAATAATCATCAGAGACGAGGAAGAATTTGTTCTCTTGGAGTGTAATGAATTTGTGGAATTTACTGTAGAGGGCTATAGACGCTGGATTGTTAAATATACCCAAAGCTGAGGTAGACAGTTTTGTGATCACTATGGGAATCAAAGGTTATGGAGAAAGGGCAGAAGAGTGGAGCATTATCCAAACAGCCACCATCTCATTGAATGGCAGAACAGGCTCAATGGGCCGAATGGCCTACTCCTGCTCCTACATCTTATGGACATGGCAAAATGACTTGGAATTTCTTGAAACAGCATCACCAGTAAGTTAAACCAAACTTTATAACAGTTTTTACATCTAACTTGCTAGCTGGTTCCTCAGTTAAAACTTTCTATCACTCTCATTAACATACGCCAGAATTTAAAACTCAGTGGAATCTTTTGTGGTTTGAAGGAAAGCATACGACTTACTGTATCCTCCTTCTTTAAATCCATCTTTACATACTAAAATTAAATTTTGTAGCTATCAAACAGTCCCTTATGAACATTAAGCAAAGCATATTTAAGAAATCCGATTATGGAAGCTCTGCATTTTTACATAATATTTTCATAAATATGAGAAGATACAAAAAAGTAGACAGCAAATCCGAGTGACAAAAAAACCAACAATTTAAATTTTAAAAAAAATCAGTATAAAGCACAAAAAATGTGACAGCATTTGGTCTCACTGCACCTAATATTTTGAGCATAAATTTAAGTTTAGAACTTGTACAAGTGCAGGAAACACTTATTCTCTTGTCCTCTGCAGGAAGAAGGACTACATCGATGCATGATTTTAAAATTGTTGGCAGAGGAATCACTGCATAAAAGAATCTGTGGAAGACAAGGCATAACAAATTATTTAACTGTGAATTTATTGCATTTTTTGCATTGAAAATCAGTATTAAGCCACTGTTCCAATGCATGCTTTGTGGAAATACCAATTATGAATTGATGCTACAGACTGAAAAGCCTATGAGAGACAATGCAGTCTACTATATACTTCTAAAGACAATTGACAAAGCAAAGGACTAATCAGTGTGATTGTTAGAAATGCACAGAAATTGTGTCAAACTACCATGAACTTACAAACTCCCAAACAAAAGCACAAACTCTAGTACCTTCTTTATGCAGAGCTTGACATTTCTTTTCAATTTTTGATGAGTTTTGCTTATTGGCATAATTAAATTCATTACCTGCAATGACGTTGAATGAGCAGTAAATATTTTATCTTTAGTCCTCACAATTTTCAAATATAATAGATAACAACACACAATAAATCACAGCCACAAAGAGTGTGTTAAAAATAAATTGTTTCTTATTTACCATTAAGAGATTTACCTGTCTTTCTTTGGCTTGGAAGCTGTTCGTACAGATATGAATCATACTGTTTCAATGCTGTATAGAAAAGATTACAGCTTTCTTCACCTTTTCGTGACAATAAATCAAGAAGTGTGGCTGCACGACTGTGTCTTTCCATTTAAGGGTTTTGTAACTGTTAAAATCCAATGGAAACTTTACAGATTATTTATCAATAGGGTGTAAACAAAAAAGTGAGTAGTTCAGAACTAGAGCATTGCTGCAAATATCATATTTTGTTGAAGTTTTTTGTCATACACTTATCAAGGCAAATCACAAGAATATACCAATAAAGCAGAAACATTCACACTGTATAAGAGAAGAGTGATGGTCAGATGGCAAGTGGGTATAGGCATTGCCATGGAGCATGCAGCAGTTAAGGTTGCCAGGCTTTGTGTAGATTTCAAACCGGACTCTGATTGATCAAAGATAACACAGTGTGGAGCTGCAGGAAAACAGCAGGCCAGGCAGCATCAGAGGAGCACAAAAGTTGACGTTTCGGGTCAGGACCCTCCTTCAAAAAAAAATTTCTGAAGGGTCTCGACGTGAAACGTTAACTTTCCTGCTCCTCTGATGCTGCCTGGCCTGCTGCGTTCCTCCAGCTCCACACTGTGTTATCTCAGACTCCAGCATCTGGAGTTCTTACTATCTCTGATCAATAAAAGCAGTGCCCTGAAAGACTAGCCAGCAAATGATACCTATTCAGTTAAGTTGAAACAGTGCCATGTATGTATATGTTCTTTTTGTTTGTAAAGAACAGGGCCCTGTGTATTAGTATATGTAGCTTTTATGACGTGCAAGTGAGAGCCTGACTGACATGCCTAATTTGATTGTCCCTGTAATTTATTGTACATTCAGGATTATTCAGCAAATGTTGTCCAATTGCAGAATCACACCTAACATTAGGCACTGTATTGTGAGTTTTGCAAGTGTAGGCTGATTTAGTACTGTTGGTACTAGATTGTTGAGAATAGCCAAAGGGAAATGCTGTTTGATCTGATCCGCTGTCTTTGGGACATACAGTCTACACACCGGCACAGAAATTCACAAGACACATTACTCATTTGTAATAGGCAGAATGTCCTTTTGATTTGACAGCAGCATCCTATTAGTGGTGAATACCACTTGTGTTACTGCTGTGCAGTAGCAGCATGAAACAGTTGCTCAAACTTTTGAGATACCTTACCCTTCTAAAATCTCTGATAGGATGGGCACTTTTCAGGACCAACAGTGACCATGCAAGGGCATTTGATGAATTTGTGTGACACACAGGGAGAAATTATCTGAACAGGGAAGTCCCCATCCTGAAGGATGGTCTTGATGTGCCCTCTTCAGCATCAACCTTGCATGGTGACCAAATGCCTTGAAATCAGGTTCTTTCACAAGTAAAGAATTGAGCGTATGCAAATTTTCCCCTTCATTTAGAATCCGTGGGGAGAAATTTTACATAAACTGGTTGCTTAGATTCCATTCTACAAAGGAGATGTGACATACACCGCTGTTAAATAATAAGTGTAATGTAATTTTGCTTTTTAAATGTTAGCTGGATTAGCCTGAATTGAGTCATAGAATCATACAGCATGGAAACAGACCCTTTGGTCCAACCAGTCAAAGTGTTAACTAAAACATTTGAATATATTGAATCGGATTTCATATGATGAAGAAATATCACAGTATTTCTGTTAAAATATTCAAAATAATTTATTAAATTTTCAATAATTTAGTTGTCATGCAGACGGAGCTAGGTGTGACAATGAATACACAAATAAAATCAGACACACAGCTGGACTCCATTGGGTCCCTGCAAGGTTACAGCACAGGAGATAACAACTTGTGAAAACAATATCTGCATCAGTAGTACTGAGGTGGAGATGGTCGAGAGCGTCATGTTTCTGGGAGTAATGATCACCAACAATCTGTCCTGGTCCACTGACGCCAATATGATGGTCAAGAAAACACAGCAACGCCTCTGCTTCCTCAGGAAGCTAAGGAAATTCGGCATGTTCACAAAGACTCTTACCAATTTTTATAGATGTACCATCCGGATATATCACAGCGTGGCTTGGCAACTGTTCTGCCCAAGACCGCAAGAAACAATAGAGGGTCATGAACACAGTCCAATCCATTAAGCAAACCAGCCTTCTATCCATTGACTACACCTATACTTCCCACTGCCTCAGGAAAGGAACCAACATAATTAAAGACTCTCCTACCCCGGTTATACTATCTTCCACCTTCTTCCATCCGACAGAAGATATAAAAGTTTGAGTACACGTACGAACAGATTCAAGAACAGCTTCTGCCCTGCTGTTATCAGACTTTTGAATGGACCTCTCAAATGCTAATTTTGATCTCTCCCTCTGCACCTTCTGCATGGTTGTAACACTGTATTCTGCACTCTGTTCTGCTATCCTGATGCACTTTGCATGGTGCGATCTGCCTCTGTAGTACACAAAACAATACTTTTCACTGTTTCTCTGTACATGTAACAACAATAAATCAAACTCAAAATAATAAATGTTATTTTAATATATTTTAGTTCAATAAGTTTAATTTAATAATTCACCTGCAGTATGAGTTTTTGGTAGAGATTATATTCACCCATGCATATAGTGCAATAATAAAAAAGACATGAAAAATACTATGAGATAGGCAAAAACAATATAAAATTGTTGTATCTTACCCTGTTGTATTCTCCACTGTTCAAAACAGGAGGCTCTGTTTTAGTCAAATAAATAATAATCTGATTTAACAAGGTTTCATAGAGACCTCCCTCATTTGTAAAATATAGTCTGTCATCCTTCAGAGCATCTTTGCAGTTCTTTCCTGCAACAAAAACAAAATAATTTGTAGCTGTACAATAAATTATTGCATGTATTGTATTGTAAATTGTCTGTATTGTATGTACTGTAAATTATGGAGGAGGTACAACATTTAAAAGGCATCGGGATGAGATATAAGAATAGGAAGGATTTAGAGGCACGTGGACCAAATGCTGGCAAATGGGACTAGGTCAGATTGTGATATCTGGTCGGCGAGGATGAGTGAGACTGAAGGCTCTCTTTCCGTGCTGTATAACTCTTTGACCCAATGACTCTTATTTTGTTGAGATATTTTCTGTTAATTGGTGTCAGATCATATGTAAAACATATTCCACAGCTAAAATTTGGCAGGTGTTTATAAAAATAGGTTTTAAATTATATCTCAAGAAACATTTCCTCACTTTCTCTCATTATCATGGGACTTGAATGCAACAAATATTAAAATTTGTACTTTCATTTTTTTATTTCCAGCTTCAATGCAATAAAAAAAGTCTTTTCCAGCAAGTTCTGACACAATGGGGGTAACTTTCATCTGTGGCTTCCCAGTTCAAGCTGAGAAAAATAAGCAGGCCATAACACATACCAGGAGGGCACACTGAACACTCAGCTGACTGCAAAGTGCATCTAATGTGGATACATAAATGGGCAAACACCCATCCTATCTTCCTAAAACAAATGAGGTTGGTTTAAATTTATAGTTCAAGGGTCATAATCAGTAATAAAGGGTGGTACGGTGGCTCACCGATTAGCACTTACTGCCTCTCAGTACCAGGGACCCAGATAGGATTCCTGCCTTGGGTGACTATCTGTGTGGAGTTTGCATGTTCTCAGTGTCTGCGTGGCTTTCCGTTGGATGATCCAATTTCCTCCCATAGTCCAAAGGTGTGTAGGTTTGGTGGATAGACCACTGTAAATTGTCTATTGTGTCCAGGGATGTGTAAGCTAGATGGATTAGCCATGGAAAATGCAGGGTTACGGGAACAGAGTAGGGGTCTGGGTGGGATGCTCTTTGAAGGCTTGGTGCAGACTTGATGGGCCGATTGGCCTCTTTCCACTCTGAAGGGATCTATTCTATGATTGGAAGTTTGATCACAAATTTCACATGCAACAAGGCCATGTGTAACCAATGCCCTTCAAAGTGCTCAAACAACAGACCAGAAAACTAGCACGAGTGCTTCTACTGAGCCCACAAGATCAAGTTCCATTCCACCCCCCGTAACTCCTTTCAAAATACTAAAGGAAAATCAATCCAATCACCCCCTTAAATGTCTACATTCCAGAGAACATAAGCCTGGTTTATGAATTTCCCTTCATAACCTTCAGAACACTGGTGACATTCTAATAAATCTACAATATATTTGTTCCAAGGCAAATGCATTTAGATCTTGCATGACGTTTGTAGTTGCGTTCCGGAAAAGTGTAACATCAAGTAAAACTGCATTCAGCAAATCAAATCTCTCCATTACAACCAATGTTAAAACTGTAATTAGTTTCAGTATGAGTTTTCTCTATATAAAATAACATTAAAGCAATATAGCCTGTGAATTGATGTGGAGGTGCCGGTGTTGGACTAGGGTGGACAAAGTCAGAAGTCACACAATCCCAGGTTATAGTCCAACAGGTTTTATTTGGAATCACACAAGCTTTCGGAGCACAGCCCCTTCGTCAGGTGCAATGAGACAGCAGGGCACACAGACACAGAGTTTATAGGCAGAGAGATCAAGGGCAGAGAGATCAAAAGATCATACAACTGGTGTGTGTGAATTGTCAGGTGATAAGTCTCTGCAGATGACCAAGAGTGTTAGATGGTGTGTAAAGTGTTTATAAAGTCAATGTCACTGCTGTACTATCATGACAATCAGGCAGAGCCATAGGAATATACAAAAGATGACATCTCAGGTCAGATACTGAATTGTAGGTGTGAGGCTTTGTTCAGAATCTGTGTCAGAGTTTTAACCTGGAATCAGGCTGGTTTTATTCCAAAAGATGAAATTTATAAGATGCCATGCTGACTGATTGTGACTACAAATTATGTATTTTTTGAACAAAATAGAATGTATCTGCAAATAGGCAAACTTTTTGGATGGAATGATTCACCCCATAGATTTGTGTGCGTGTGTGTATGTGTGTGAGTGTATGTGTGTTTGCATGTGTGCGTGTGTGTTTGTGTGCATGTGTGTGTGTGAGACAGAGTGTGAGGGAGTGTGTATGTGTGTGTGTGTGTGAGGGAGTGTGTGTGTGTGTGTGTGTGTGTGTATATGTGTGTGTATATGTGTGAGGGAGTGTGTGTGAGGCTGCGTGTGTGAGGGAGTGTGTGTGTGAGTAGGGGGAAATGGAGAGATGGGGAGGATTGAACAGGGGAGAGATAGGGAGATAGGAGGGATTAAATGGGGGGGTGAGATGGGGAAAATTGAGTAGGGGAGGTGGGAGATGGGATGGATTGGGTAGGGGAGAGGTGGGAAGATGGGGAGAACCAAGCAGGAGAGAGTGGGGAAATGGTGAGGATTGATAAGGGAGATGTGGGGAGATGGGGAGGATTGACCAAGGGAGAGGTGGAGAAATGGGGAGGATTGGTGAGGACATGGGGTGATTGAGTAGGGGAGAGGTGGGGAGATGACGAGGATTGAGTCGAGGAGAGGTGGGGAGATGGGGAGGCAGTGAGTAGGGGAGAGGTGGGGAGATGGGGACGCAGTGAGTAGGGGAGAGGTGGGGAGATGAGGACAATTGAGTAGAGGAGAGGTGGGGAGACGGGGAGGCATTGAGTAGGGGAGAGATGGGAAGATGGGTAAGATTGATAGTGGTGAGATGGGGAAGATTGAGTGGGTGGAGAGTAGGTGGCGAGACAGAGAGGAAGTGTTATGGACCATACCAAACGCCCTTCAAATATATCAAGGAGATGGCCTCGACCCTAACTTTTATCTTAATTAAAGGCAACTCTAAGGTACTTTGTTCCAGATGTAATTCAATTGATTATACTACTCAGCTTTATTCTTACCCTATGGTTAAAATACAAATAAAAGAAGGAAGAATTGCTCCAGCTTTAACCCTATTGAAAAACTTAACAGAATAATAGATTATTTAACTACTGAGCAGCAACTGTTCTATACGGTAACATCCCACAAACACACCCTTGGCAAAGGCAAATTCAGCAAAACAGAGTGTCTCACATGTAAGTTTCTCCACAGCAGGAGGAGAAAACATCCAGCAAAAATTCTGGCAGACAAAGAAAACGCAAGCATTTTGCTGTAGCAGGGAGAGAGGTATAGTCGCTTCAAAACTCCAACAACCACTGAAAGCTAAATAAAACCCTGGTTTTGTGGGAGCCTGACTCCACCCATTCATGCTGCTTGTGTTGTTCCAACTTTAAAAATAACCCAAGGCATCACAAGCTGTTTATTTTATTGGCTTTGAACAGGCTGCTTTGTACCTCTGTCTCATACTTTCTTCATAAACATAAAAAGGACAGAATACACCTCTTAAAGCCATAGTATTGTCACAGAAAGAGGTGGGGAGATGGGGAGGTGGCAAGTGGGACGGAGGTGGAGATAGCAAGAGACAGTGAGCAGGAGAGAGTTGGGGAGCGGGAGGATCAATGAGCAGGGGAAGACCACTTCAGATTGATGTTGATTAGGTCCCACTATGGATCCTTATGTTCACCCATGCCCCCCCCAGAGCTGTTATGACAAGTGTTGCTTTTAGCAACCATGTCCCCCATTCTCAGGCCTATTATCACATTACATGATTTGCTTTCAGCACAGACTACCCATTTGCTACTACCTTCCGCTCTCATTATCACTTATTCAGCTTCCCCTCTGTCCTGGCCTTCCATCCATAATCCCCTAGTTTACCTACCCCTTTCATATCCCTCTCTCCACCTGGGCTCTATCTCAACCCATCTGCTCCCTTCCCCCTTCCTCCTTCCCCCTACCCCTCTTGTCTTCAGCATCAAAACCACTTATTCCTAGCTGCTATCAGTTCTGATGAACAGTCACCAGACTCAAAACATTAACTCTGCCTTCTTGCCAGAAATGCTGTCAGACCTGCTGAGTTTCACCAGCAATTTCTGTTTTTGTTTCAGATCTCCAGTTTCTTGTTTTATATAAATAATTGAGACTCAGCACCGATCCCTGTGGAACTCCATGGTTACAGCACACGTAGTGCATCCAAATTTCCAAGAGACATTTAACAGACGTAAAGGTTACTAGAGTCACAGAGTCATAATACAGAAGAAAAGACCCCATTTTGTTAGGAGTTATACATTACCATGGGAAGAGGATTCACTAATTAACAGGAAACAGAATCAGGGTTATGGTTTGGCATTCTCATCCACCGAGGGGTTATTGACTGTATTCGAGACTGAATAATTTCGATTTCAATTTGCTCGATATGGGAGTTAATTGTTCTGGTCACAATCAAATGGTCCCAGTGGCCCACCTTCCGTTTCTTATGATTTCAGGGTTGCTGTTGCATTTAGACACTCTGGCTGGGTTTTGCTGTTGTATTGATATACCATGTATGTCAGTGCGGTGTTTCTCGATTGCAAGTTATATGACACATGGTATCCTTTCAGAACATGAGTTACTGTCGTTCTACCTAAATACTCACGATTTTGGTATAACCCAGAGAAACAGGACGTTTCATGATGCGACAGATTGTACGCCTGCAACAACTAGAATCCTAGTCACGTTTAATATGGTACAAGCATCAAACTAGCAGCATAAATACACTTTCTAATCTTTTATCATGCATCCGTTTTAAACGTGCTACTTAGTTTAAATCGGACCAATGCTCTGCCCTTTTAATGCCATGTACAGATAAATGACATAACTCTTACCCTCCATTAGTTTCACAGCCTCTCGTAAACTTCTGCTACTTCCGGCTTTTCGTTTTAGCTGTCAGACCGTCCAGACAGTGTGCCCAAACCAGTCCGCTGTTGGGGTCAGACCCAGAAAACACGGACATCGGCTCAGATTTACAACATTTTTCACCGACAGAGAATTCTCT